ATAACGTGCAGGTAATAGGTTAAAAAAATCTTTACGCCCAAAATTTCCCGAAAAAATATTTCAAAATTGAAAACCTTCCTTCTTAAAAATCTTTTAGTACCTAGGCCTTCCTAGAAAATTGAGTAAGTCGAAACGTTTCAGAAATATTTTTACAGAACATCTGAGGATGGAGCTTTGGAACCTTACAAATTTCTTTGGAAATCTTTTTGAAGATATCGCGATCAAAGTTCTTGAGAACCTTTTCAGAAATCTTTTTCATTGAAACCGACTTGAAATTTTTCAAGGTTTCAAGACTCGTTTCAGGAATCAAACAAATTTCATTGGAAATCTGCTAAAGATTTTCCTAAAAGAGCATTTTAGGGTCCTTATTAAAAACATTCAAAGTTAAGATTTTACCAATCTTAGAAGAAAAGACTCATTTCTTAATAGCTTTTAAGACAATGATAGTGACAGCAAGTCGGACGGACCGACAAAGGGCATGTTTTTAAAATGCAGTAGGCCACAAAAAAAATTAGTAACATGAGATCAGTAACGCTCTTGACAACTGTTGCCAGCCTGTAACAAATCGGTTTTCCATGTTTTTTTTTTGTAAAAAGCGGCGCCCTGTACTTATTTCACTAGACAAAAAGTGTGCAATACTTTCTAACAACGTCTTTATCAACGTAAGTTGTAGATAAAACGACAAACAAGAGTGCCAGTGTGTTTTAAAGAATTTAAAATAAAATAACCGACAGTGTATGACTCAATTACATCTATTCTTTTTTTTTCTTATTAAAGTTGAAGTCATCGCCCATATTTTTCACAAATTATCTATAAAAAATCGGTTTTTAAGGTCAGGGCAAGTTTCTTTCATTTATTTTATTTTTACGATGGGCAATTTAGACGATGCCGCTTTCGCTTAGCATTGGAATGAAAATGGAATTACATTGGTCGAGTTCCACGTGAGCACTTGGAATTACCATATCTAGTGACCTGTACAGAGTAGTCAACTTTTAAAATGTCTACACGGTACACATGCACTTCATTTATTCAAATAGAAACGGATTCTCCCACATTTTTGACATAATTAGTTACGGTAAGTATCTGAGTTGACTTGCAATTCGTCTTATTCAAGTAAACAAACGAACTATCGGCAAGTTGGCGTGTTTTTGATTAAGAAAAAAGAAAACGTAAGAGGAAATTCGAGTTGAACATTATCAAAGTTTGCCATGGAATGGAATAAGCAGGTACAACTCTCGGCGTATTTGCATAGACATTATTTGCACCGGTATGTGTTGACACAAATTAAGTGTTTAAACCTAGATAAATGCCGTAAGGAATAAATGAATATGAGTACGTACTTGTAAAAGAAATGTGCGAGGGAGAGTTTATCCACCACATACGTAGAACACACGTTAGTTTATTGGGCACACACCCTTTACGCACAAGACGACACAACTTAACGTGACAAATTGAGTCGGACAAAAGTGGTTTTCACATTAGCTATAACGCGATTAACACGCTCGCTCCATCTATCGTCGGAATGTGCCAAACATACAGCACTGGCTTTAATAGATTGCGATGTTATCGACGTCACAAGTGGCCAGGAAATTTGAATCGCCGCTGGACCAAATAATGTATTCTCTTCTCCCACTGAAGTTGCATATAATTAGGCTATACGGTGTAGTAAAGTTCTACTACTTTCCCAAATGGGTAAAATGTAAAAGTTGGCAAAAGTAACTGAACCTTTATAGCCTGACTGGTCGATTTTCAAATGTAATCAATATGTAATCTAGCCCTAATTTTAAGCAATTCCCTGTCACAGAGATACTAGTGTAGTTTTGAATGTAAAGCTGAATAGAATTTATATAAATTAAATTGTAATAAATAAATCAAGAGTTTGCCATAACTCTATAATTACAAACTCGTCTTTGAATTTTAACTATACGATTTGCGAAAGCACTATGGCCCCAAACATACAATTAAATCTTCAACAATAAATTAAAATAGTCCAGTCTTGATAACAATATTCTAGATATGCAATTTTCTATACAACGAATAAGGAATCTATTACGTGTAAGTATAGTCGAGATAAAGACTAAGAATCTTTAAAATATTTGCTTTTTTTAATAAAAAAATTAAACTTTCAGTTTTATCTCCATTTAAAATTAATTTATTTAGTTTAGATTACTCTAATAAATTGTTGCTTTTGTATTTTAGCCTCTTCAAGGTTTACTATACCGTGTTCATTATTGTTATATCATGAGCATATTATAAGGTAGGTACATTTGCAATCAACGCCCGAGATAGATTCATTAGAAAGGCTATAGTTCATCTTTTTGAAATTCATGAATCCTATATTTTACTACGAAATAGAGAGTTGGTACCTACATTTGCAGCAAATAATTAATTTCCCCATACACTTAGGTACCCTGTACATGCACATTGTGCAACCTGAAAACGTCTGTACCATGGTATACTTATTCTTATACACTGTTGTCTGTACCTAGGGAGTGCTACCCACACGATATGATACGATCTGAATCATGTTTGTTTGTTATACTGTACAAATGCTTATGCTTATGGCTTTATATTAGTTAATATGTATTCATGAGGAAATTTGTTATCAATGTGCTGTTGCTCTGTACTATTTCTGAGAGGGAGTACCGCATGCGGTTCGATTCTTTACTATATTTGTAGCTCCCTCATCTCGTGCAGACTGCAGCTCTTGTGTCATCTTAATAGTTTCAATACTTTTATAAGTTTATTTTTCCCCCCCGTTCTTTTGAAATGTGTTAACCCAAATTTCAACTTTAATGTAAAAATTCAACCCCCCGGTTGGTTGTCTTAACAAGGCTTGATAATTAATTCGTCTTGAAACTTAGGACAACCTTTCCGTTTTAACCACCCTTCAGGTTCTTCACTTGGCTTCGGCCAGTTTATAATTAAAAAAAACAACATGTTCGTCTTATCCGTCTTCAACGTTTGTAATTTACCGTTTTCCTGTTAACTTTCACATCGCCTGATGATGGCAGTACGCCGAAACTATAGTCGCTGTTATTTTTAAAAAACTTCAACGAATAAAACTATATGGGGAAGGTTTAGAGATTTTTGATAACTTTAGTTTGATGTTTCTCTGCACGAGTGGTTTTTATCCGCAAGGGAGGTACCTCGTAAAAATAAAAAAAAACCTTATGTGCAAATGCAAATGCAAACTACTTATTGTTCTGTAAAAAACTTAGAGTAACGCCGCGCTGTACATATCAACATTCTATGCATTTATGTAAATAATAACAATAACTGTTACATGAAATTCATAAACTAAATAGAATTACCTGCACTTTTTCCATACACATCTTTAGGTTTGTCACACTATATGCCTTCTGCGCATGCGTATTTCGAGTTGATACTTCAATGGTCCCCTGAACGGCATGCAACCCTGTTGAGTAAATAATTTTTTTTAAAAAGAGCGGCTAATGTTTTACTCTCCCTCGTACAAGAAAGAATAAAATTATTATTACCTGTAAATAGACTACTTATTCAAAACACAAAAAACAAAATAAACGCTAGACTCGCCATTATACTCAAGCTCGCCTTGGATTCCAGTCCCGTTGCTGAACCGAAGTTAACTTTTTCTTACCAAGTTTCCTGTTCGTCGGTACCTGCGCAGAACAGCCGAAGCCATCACAATTCATGTATACAGTGTTTCCAAGGTATAGGTAAGTAATATAGCTACCTAGATTATACAGTGATATTCATGTAGAAGTAGACATAGGGATTTCTTATAGGAATTTCCTATGTCTACTTTTACATGATAAAGTCTCCTGAAAGACGCCTAATTTTATGCAACCAAAGTAACTACCTACAACCAAAGTACAACAAATGAGGATCTGCCTGTCATATTAATTAATGTGAATATTATCGCTTTGACTTCCCTATTCTAATTTGGGTTCGTGTGCGATGTATTCAACTAAAGAATTGGTATAGTGCCGATAACAGTTAAAGGAGCTTAAGAGATTTATTTTCTGTGAAGCTAAAGCAACAATATATGACACCAAGATCTTTATTTGTTTCAAGAAGTTATTTGGGTTGCATAAAATTAGGCGTCTTTCAGGAGACTATCAGGGCATGGGGTTTGATATAAGACCTGCTCCAGCATTGTTGGAGTTTTCAATTGCTCAACAAATGAAATTAAAAGAAACTTATCTAATGTAATGTGGAAGAAATTATTAGAAAGCACTTTCTTTTGCATCTCTTTTTATCACGAAGGTCACAGATAAGCCGATTAAGGGTTGGAACATCTTGGAGATGTTGACTAAGGGCATTGCTAAGGGGAAATACGTCAGCGCAGCCTGTGTATAGGGTTGAGGAAAAACTCAGACATTCACATCTGAAGTCAGGAAGACTCACCTGGTTGTTGGTCGCGATGATGGCATTCTTACCTATCATTAATCTTTTTCTTTCTCTTCCAAGATAGGTTTGTAATGTAAATTCTCCACAGCATGATCCATTCAGGGTTAAGGACCAATCGGGGCTTTGCAAGCGGGAGAGATTTCACTGCTGGGATGTGTATTTCTAGAGGAGGAATTTTGCCATGACTTGTAAAAGTTGAACACGAATTACCTCAGGGTTGGGTACCTAGTAGTAACTCATTAGATCTCTTTTCCTCTTGGAGGAATAGTAACAATTTATATACAATTCGAGAACTTTATTAATATTAACTTGTGGGTTAACTGTGGCATACTTATATGATTATAACTATAATGTGAAGGAGCTTAGGAAGCACTTTGCTTCCAAAGTTCTGTGCTAGTAGAGTTATGGTCGAAAAACCTAGCTGTTTGCTGACTTTTTCAATTTTTCACAGGATATAATTTGTGGCTGTTGGCCATTACTAATTTTAATAGTTCTTTATTTATTTCATAATGTGTTATCTTGCAAGTGTTATGGCTTATTACACCAACCCCCAAAAAATAAAGACAACACAGAATTGATGTGGAAATTAAACGTTCACAATAACAAAATACAAGTAAAAATGAAGTTTATTTCACTTACACAAAAATTAAAAATCATAATTATACCTATAAAATTACTTTCAATTATTCTCAACCATTAACACCACAAAAAAAAATCGTTATTGAGTACAGAATTGTGTTTTAACTCATTATCAGTGTGCTTAATTGTAAATAAAAGCAAAATAAATAATACAATTCTAAAATAAAGCATGTAGCTATTATTTTAAATCAACATGATTTTTATTCTTGATGCATAGTTTGGCGATGATGTCTTCTCAGCGACGACTTATCCGTAAACGATTTATCACAATCCCTGCACTTAAAGGTTTTTCCGGTGTGGGTAACTAAGTGACGACTCAATCCAGACGCGTGGCAAAATACTTTAGGACATAAAGTACAATAATGTAACTGAATATCGGAGGGATTCGGATTTAAATGGGATCGCATGTGTACGCGCAACGGTTCCTTCTGGGTGAAACCCTTGGGACAATGCGGGCAATTGTACGGTTTCTGCCCGGTGTGCGTCATCAAATGTCTGAATAAAATTTCCTTTTGCGCAAAGCTCTTCTGACAGACCTCGCATTGAAATGGTCTCTCGCCCGTATGAATACGCTCGTGACGAACTAGCGCCGATCGGGTCGGAAACCATTTCTCGCAGATGCCACAACTGAAACCTCTCTGCTGCATGTGTACCGAGGCGTGCCTTCGAAGTTGGATGCGGCGTGAAAACGACTTGGGGCAATCGGGACAGCGAAAGATCTTCAGTTCGCCCTCCTCGTTTATGTCTTGAACTTGAAATTCAATTTCGCCCTCCGTATCGTCCTCGGTCATCAATTCCATCACCAAAATCGATCCGTCTTCCGTTGTAACTTGAACCTGTGTGGGTCTTCCTGGTTGGGAGTCCACTTTCATTTGAAGTCCGCCGGATATATCAACACCTGCAATAGCAACAAATTAAAACCTTACATTTTTCACCCCCTGAAAAAGGTGTTTTTTTTCAAAAATCGTGAATATCTCAGAAATTAATGAAGGCTCATAAAGGTTCTTTTTTGCTTATTAAAAGCTCTTATAGGCCTGCTAGATTCGCGAAAAAAGTACAAAAATTCAAAAATGTTAGAAAAACGAATAAATTCCAGACACTATACAAAGATAAATTCGTGAATATCCCGCATAAGAAATTAAAAATTAACGATTTTTATAGACTTTCAAAAATTAACAAAAAACCCCAACTGTAATAAAAAATTAACAAATTTCAGAAACTAAAAATTGAAGAAAAATTTAAAAATTAATTTTAAAAATTGTCAAAATTCTACTCAGTGTATAAATAATTCAAATTCGTAAAAAAGATTATTAAAAGATTAACAAATTTTAGAGAAAGGAAAAATTCCAACCAGTATACAATACAAAAAAAATGCAATTTGTGAACATTCAGTCAAGAAATTGAAAAATTTACATATAACAGAAAAACTAAATAAATCTCAGCAAGTACAGGGTGTTTCAAATTCGTGGGTCATTATTATTATTATTTCTATTATATCTTATTAGATATTATTAGGTATTATAAAATTCCATGGCATTACAGATTATTGAAAAAGATGCGGGTTTTATTTTTCCAATTTCCCATCTTTATTATGTAAAAATATTAAAAACTAATACGGTTTATAGGCGTAAAAAATTTTTTTCTACAAAAAACCTGAATACGTTTTTGCTCTAAAATAATTTGGGGAGCCAATAATCGCATGTTATGAATTTTACATTGAAATCCCTATGATGCGTGACGCAAGTCACCACCCTGTATACGTCGATGCATGTATTAAATCTAAATACCTATAAAAAAAATTGCAAATACTACTACTAAATTGTTGTTTTGACAATCTTGATTTGTCAAAACAAAAGATGGTGGTACAGGAATTCAATGGTACAGGAACCAAAAACAGATATTGCCTAATACGGGTCCAAAATGTTTCATTTGGGACATTATGTGATCAAAAGTTTGTATCCCTTTCTGATTCTGCAAAAATGTTCTGAAGATAGGAATGCGAAAAACTCTAATCTCGACGAAATTCGGTGTCCGAGTTTCTTCGAACATGTATCTAACAAATCCAAGCTTAATTCTTGCAAATGTAATACAAAACATTTACCCTCAATTTTTATTTATGCACTCAATTGCAAAAACTTTCAACAGCAGCATCTAGTCCCCTCTTGGGAAAAATAAAAAAAATTGAATGTGAAGTGTCGGATATGTAGATGCCATAAAAAAATGATGTCCTTTTCTTGTAACAAAAATTTGTTCAACCCCTCACTCCTATACAACTACCCTTGTAAGGTGATCGTAGAGGGTTGAAATTTTAAGTTGTACAATCACTAACAAAGGTACTAAGACAAACCTGGATGTGTAGCTAACGTGGCTTTAACAGCATCAGCGATAGCCTCCAAGTTGTGATCCTCAAACTGGGCCTCCGAGTTCTCAACTTCATTGTCCATAATATAAATGTTATCTCTGTCTTCGGTCAAAACATCGTTCTCTTCTTGGTCATAAGTGGGAGTTAGGTCCACAACATCCTGCTCCTTTTTCATCTCAATTTGAGTTACTAACGTACAGGCCTGCTTGTTTATGTGATCAGTTTCGATGGGCAAGGTGATATGCTCGGAGGTCTCCTCCACTTGCTCAATATCGGGATCTATATAGGCAACTTGCGCGACGCCCACTAGATCTTGTTCCGTACTAGTTTCGTTTTCACGAATCACCAACTCATCGCACATTTCCTCTTCCTGCGGCGCCTGGGACTCTTCTAGTTTCATAGGGTCGGCTTCGTCGTCCGAAATTTCGATCCCTCCGATCTTTTCGTGCAACAACTTTAGGTGAAGTCTAAGTTTCGCGTCGGACTGTTCGCACTTCTTCCTAAAGGCGTACGATTTTTCCAGTTGATATTTACAAGGATGACAAATTTTGTTCGGTAGTCCGTCTCCTTCAAACACCTTCTCGAAAATAAACAATTTTCAAATTTGCACCAGTTTTTGAATTACTCACCTCCAGTTGTACACAAGCCATTATTCGAAGTGTTAATGGAGTCGTTTCTTCTTCATTGAAAATTGGCACTAAAACGTCTTCTTTTGTCATGCATAATCTGCACAATTCGTTCAAATGCAAAATCACTTCTTCACTTTCTCCCGGCTTTTTTCGGCTGTATGTTTTCATCGTTGTTGGTAAATTATTGATAAATCAGATTCCTTTCCAAACTATGTAAACTACTTTATCCTCCTTTCCAGTGTTCCACGACTGTACGCTTATCTCTTAGAGAATTCGATCGTTCACTTTCGTACATTTAGAAGCTTTGCGCGCGCATCTTACATTACAGGTTTCGCGATTACCATTTGGTGGTGATTTGACGAGACTTTTCTTGTACTAATTTATTGCAAGAGAATATTACGGATTTTTAATCACTTACCTTTATTTTGTTATTAACATCTAAATCATCCAAGTAACATATGATCTTATATATAGCAATATAGCCTACTTCGATCATATGTGGTTTTTTTATCTGATTTATACCTAGTAGAACCAGTGCCGTAGGAACTGGTGGGTTTGGGTGGGTCCGTCGTGGTCGAATAATCGAATTTATAATTTTATAACTATAAATGTTGAAGTAGTAAAGCAGGCCACTTACCCTTAATTTAAATCTCAAGAATTCTTCGACTACAAGTAGCGTTTACAAGTAGTTTGATAGATTTATTTTATTTACCTACACCTGTTTACTCAATTCTAATAGTAAACAACATTTTATCATTTCTTCGGTAATACATATATTCTAGTCCATAACTTTTGATTGAGACGTCTTATCGAAAAAGTACGAATTGTTTTGGATTCTACGCACCAAAATTAATAAGAAAAAGTGTTTTCCCGAGAAATTTTGGTGCAGTCGATTTTTGGTAAAAAAAGAAGGTTATACACTGCCTTTTTTTGAGCCCCGAAAAAAAAAATTGTCTCAGATCGACCCGGAAAAAAATTTTCTTATAGAATGTGGCCTGTAGAATCCATAATTTCAAACAGTTCCAAGACTGGGCTACTAGTTCAAAAGTTACAGCCCTTTGAATTTTCTTTCGAAATTGGTTTCTAGTCCATAACTTTTGATTGAGAACTCCGATCGAAAAAGTACGAATTGTTTTGGATTCTACGCACCAAAATTAATAAGAAAAAGTGTTTTCCCGAGAAATTTTGGTGCAGTCGATTTTTGGTAAAAAAGGAAGGTTATACACTGCCTTTTTTTGAGCCCCGAAAAAAAAATTGTCTCAGATCGACCCGGAAAAAAAATTTCTTATAGAATGTGGCCTGTAGAATCCATAATTTCAAACAGTTCCAAGATTGGGCTACTAGTTCAAAAGTTACAGCCCTTTGAATTTTCTTTCGAAATTGTTTTCTAGTCAGGGGCGGGCCAGGTGGAATTGCATAGGTTACGGGCCATTAAAGTATTAGTGTAGTAATGAAGGTGGCGGGAGGGGTAGCTCTGCTGTGCACCACAAAAACATTTTTTGCTTCATTTTAAAGTACTCCTTTTTCGGAAATCAAATACAATACAGGTTTTTTTTAAATTGCAGCTGATAATTAAAAGTAACAAAATATACAGTCCAAACGAGGCGCGTCGCCTATTATTGTATTTCAGCACTTTCATGCTACGACAAAAAATGATAAATTCGTTGTAAAACACTTCAATTAAAACAGAATTTTTTAATTTTTTAACAACCTAAAATCAACCCCAATTAGAGAAACGTGTTAATAATTTTTTAATAGTGCAAGAAACTAAATACAGCACATACTTATAAATTTCCAACGGGCCATTATGACGTACAGGCCAGGTGCCAACCGCCACCCGCCCCCCGGGCCAGTCCGCCGCTGTATATGCAATTGATTGTAATATAATAACATTTGTACAAGGTACTTTTTCGAGGTTTATTCCTACCTGGATTCCTGTATGTGGATCCTCTTAGAGGATGTGTTTGACTGACAAAATTTCGTTGCGTTTACATCACAGTGAAATTATTTTATTGTCCTCTAGTCAGTGGAGGTAGATTAATAGTCATTATTAAATTAACGAGTAACCATCTCGTTCATGATTTTGGACTTTCTGCCCGTGCGTCTGTGTTCATGATAACTCGCAACGGTTTCGAGTTTTACAATTCTGGATTCAGGAATAGGCAGACAATGGCCAAGGCACTAACTGATTAAATTTCCGTGCAGCGGAGGCTCCCATCGGGCCTGACCTGTGTTTTCGGGGCTGAAACCCAGACTGGTAGCGACCGTGACGAGGAGTGCATGGCACTATATGGTACAGTGTCGATAACGGTGCCCCTCGGATACCGCGTGACCTTCGAGTGGTGGCACCTTTTCTTCGGGGAAAAGGGTCTGACAGTCAATCCCTGGGCAAACGACTCTGCCCAAGTGAGGCCCCATTTCCGCAGTATAGTCGTGGGAATTTTATTATGGGCGATTTTCAACCATACAAAATCTTCCGGGCTCGTCGCCAGGGAGGACTAACAAGCCGAGCTCTCAAAAGTGGTCTGGGGTGATGGCCAAGAAGCGCAGGCTCTAAAGTAAAGCCAAAACCCAGGACTGTATCTGAGCCAGAGACTCAGGGGGTTACCTGACGTCAGGGGCCAAGCGTCTCAGATCGGAGGGAAGTACTCCAGGGTCTGACTCAAGGCAGCCTGAGAAGAAGCCGAGAGGTTCGGGAGCACCCAAAGTTGCTGGTGCACCACGAACCATATTCTTGAAACGCCTACAACATCAAAATCCTGGACGAACTTATGGAGGTCGCTCTTCTGGTAGGGTCCTCTTCGCATCCTATCGGCCACTAAGGCGTCAGAACTTTCAAGCGCACACGGAAGTCTCGAACTTTACATTTGTGACGAAAAGCGAGTTCTCCGGCTGCGCCAGGTAAGAGAGAAAGCTCCTCCGGAACGGCGACATCCAGGGGTCAGGACCATCGGCATCACTAGGGGAGGGGGAATACATCAGTGATGGACGAGATAGTCTTCTTACAGCGCAAATGACAGCACCATAAGGGGCCGACCTGTTTAAGGAGCCATCAACTTGCTGTAAAGCAGACAGGCGTATGGCTTATAGTTATAAGAGGACCTTGGATTTACAGGTGACGCGTAAGAGGTCTGGGATAGGTAGAAGACGCTCTTTATTATAAGAAGGAGTTAGGCTCCTTTTCAATAACTCACATGATCACGCGTTGGAGGGTGTCTGATGACCCTTCGCTTTCCAACCACAGGCACAATCTTTTCCAACTAAACCTGGTATCCCCTTGCGGAGCCTCTAGGTTTCAAAATCTCTGTTCCACTGATGACTGATACTACTATGTGGCGAAACTGTCTCTTTCTCTTTGCTCTATCGGAAAGATAGATATAGTAATAATTACAGCTCAAAGTGACGCCATATACAGTGATATTCATGTAGAAGTAGACAAGGGATTTCCTATGCCTGCTTTCAAATGATAAAGAGTCTTCTGAAGGACGCCTAATTTTATGCAACCAAAATAACTTCTTGAAACGAAGATCTGGCTGTCAGATTAATTATTAATATGAATATTGTTGCTTTGACTTCACAGAAAGTAAATCTCTTAAGCTCCTTTAACTGTTACCGGCACCATTGGAAATATCAACTTATTCTTTAGTTGAATACTTACATCCCACACGAACGAAAATTAGAATACGGAAGTCAAAGGGATAGATATTCCAATTAATTAATATGATAGGCAGATCTTCATTTGTTGTAGGCATAGTAATTTTCTTCTTCTCTCAAGGAAGGAAGAGAACACCTTGGTGGAACTCCAAAAGGTATGTAAGGAGGTGCGCATCAGACTCTCTAATACGCCCATGCGAACTAAGCTGCCTGCGGACCTGGAAAATCTCAAGATCGCTCAATGCAGGTTTAAGGACCATATTCGAACGTCTAAAACGAGGATGGTGGAGGGCCTTCTGTGGCAACATAGAGAATCTTCCTGAAGTTCAAAAACCTCGTAAGATCCTTTTGAAAGACTCGGGCAAAAAAGTGGAAACACTGAGGCTTCCATGCGGTACGTCTACTGCAGCCGAGGCTTCCATACAGGTCTCCTGTAAACCCACTTTCCAGGCTCTGGGAACTACAAAACTTCGAACCCACCAAAAGGATCTCTGAGATGGGCGTTCAACACGTTCAGCCGATTTAAGAGTGCAGGACCGGACAAGATACTCCCGGCTCTTATGCAGAAGGGCCTGGAACCACTGATTTACATTTGTTGAACCTGGTATTAAGGTATATCCCTGAAAACTGAAGAAAGATAAGAATAAATTGCTAAACCGGGTCGCGTCAAATATGACATGCGATGCGATTACAGGTCCATCAGCACACCGGTGGAGAAGCTGTTGGATTCATACGAAATAAGGAATGGGGTACTGGTCCTTTGCCTATAGGGCGGGCGGAGACGGCTCTAAACAGTCTCGTGTGCAGACTCGAGGGGGTGGAGAATGCTCGGAAGCAGGCTCATTATATCCTCAATCGGGACGACGGAGATGAGCTCCTCGATTACTAGAGGATGTCCGCAGGGTGGGGTGTTGTCTCTACTGCTGTGGAGCCTGGTGCTAGACGGGCTCTTCTGTACGGCAGGGAGCCTAGAGCAGGTAGTGCAGTAGCCATGGCTTCTCCGTTAACCCGGAAAAGACAGTGGTTTCATTTACGAATAGAAACAAAACGGACCTTGATGGGCTTACGACGTCAACTGGGTCTGACCAGGCAGTGAAATATTTAGGAATCATCCATAGACTCCCCCCTGAACTGGAAAGGGCACATTGAACGAATAAGCAAAAAAGCCACTGACTGCTGATAAGGCCAATAATACAGCACAGTGCACTTGTGTGTTATATGGTGACCTGCCATGCGTAGGGCAACCTACGGGTTGCAGCGATATAGGCAAGGTACAAGCACTGGCCTGTTTGGGAGCCACTGGAGTCATGAAAATCACGCCAATTTTGGTCATGGATAGGCACTCTAGGACTAGAGTTTTTACACTTAGCTGTGGAGGTAGAGACTCGGAAGGCTTCCATACGGTAAAACCATATGTTTCCAACGCGTTGAGAATCTATACGCTAAACGATTGGGACGAGTGGAAGGATGTGATGCAGGCTGTCTTACTACTACCACAGATAAAATACATGTTATCTGACCTGTGCTACTACCAAAGAGTTATAAAGTTACTCTCCCGGGCAGGGAGCATTGGCTGAACTCAAATTACATGCTCCTCAATTTGATGGAGCTCGCATGGCTTACAGACAGGTCTCTAACGGAATGGGGAACAGGAATGGGTATACATATACAGGGTGGTGCCTAGCGCAACGCAGCATAGGGATTTCAATGGTAATTTCTTTATAGTCAATTACTA